AGTTGTTTTGATTTGCATTTCTCTAATCAATGGTGATTTAGAGCATTTTTTCATATGACTAGATGGCTTTAATTTCTTCATCTAAAAACTGCCTATTCATATCCTTTGACCATTGATTAATTGGGGAATAACTTATATTCTTATAAATGGACTCAGTTCCACATATATCTTGGAAATGAGACTTATCAGAGAAACTTGCTGTAAAGATTTTTTTCCTAGTTAACTTTTTCCTTTCTAATCTTAGCTCTATTTGGATTTGTTTGTGTAAAAACTTTCAACTTTGTATAATCTAATATTTTCCATTTTATCTTCTTTGATCCACTCTATCCCTTATTTATTCATAAACTTTTCTTCTTTTCATAGATCAGAAAGGTAATTTCTTCTTTGTTTCTCTGATTTGTTTGATGACTTTTCATGTCATGTATCCTTGCTCCTTGTACACAAATTAGGTTCTTGTATTCATCATCCTGCAACTATATAATAGTCATTCTTGCTTTTCACCCCCTGGCTTATTCTCTTCTCATCTGGAGTGTGTCCTTGCCTTTTTCTAGCTTTCCAGATACTTCATCTTCTGACATACATTTCTTCAAGGCTCAATTTAAATTCCCTTTCCTTCTTGAAGCCTTCCTGTTATTTCCAGGTTTCTGTAGCCCTTATTAATCTTTCTCTTCTGACTTTCTTTAGATATTAGCACAACACATTGTACATGCCATCATTATTCATTTTATTTCAGTTAATTGTCTTGCATCATTTATTTAACATGCATGGTAAATCCTGTTCTTCCATCTAAAGTATTAGCTTCCTGAGCACAAAGATCATTACTTCTGTAACATCTGCCAAGTGTATAGTATTTAACCAATGAATATATGCTTATTAATTGACTCTTTTTTGTGTGTATGCAAAAGAAAATGTTATAATCATGAAAATCTTACAGGAATGTTGCCCTAAGCTTTTGAAACTTAATTGCTCTACTAATCTGTGTTTTCTCTCACCCCTGTTGTTCCTCACCCCTACTGCCCCCTCCCAATTTTGCAGAAGGAAAAGTATCAGAATCTGGAGTAGAAAATAACTTTCTTAAAGAAAACCATGTTGTCCTGAATGAAGACAGGGATGGAAGTGAGTTATCTGATGAAGAACCTTCTACTTTCCCTGGTGAGAACAAAGTAATTACTGTTGAAGAAGAAAAGTCAAGTGCCCCTGAAAAAGCAGGAGATGAAAATTTACTTTTCGATACAGATTATGAACCCTCAGCCCAGCTGCAAGAGCCACAGCAAGAAGACAGTGTTGATTTGCTCGGCTTGGACTCTGACGCTGGACCAGAGCAAAGCCATGCTGCCAAAGAAATTCAGAGCTCTTCTAGCAATGCTGATTTGTTAAGCAATCTCTTTGTTGCCCATGCAGCCATTTCAGAAGAGCCTACGGGGGACTTGCTTGGGGCAGGGACAGATTTCTTTTTCAGTGGCCCTCCTCCTCCTGCAGATAATGCACAGAGCACTTCACAAAATGTAGCTCACTCTTCAGCTGGTATGTACTTTTTCAATAATGTTCTAAGTGTGAATTTCTCGTTAGAATGAATAATAAATATCAAGATAAGTGAACTTTTAGTTTTTCTTACTCTACTTTGCTTCCTGCTTTGGTCCATGGATCTAAGACTTGAAAAAAGAAAGGAAACAATAGAGTGTATATATAGCTGAATTTTATGGCTGAAGGTCTATCTGCTCACTGTAGATATGATGGAGAAGCCTTCAGAAGTTCTGTGCTGAATAGAACTGGAAATCAATTGATTTTGTTGATATGCCTGTGATAAGGAATCTAGAATGTCTGCGCTGGGGAGATTAGTAGAGGAGAGGAGGAAACAGATCTAGCAGGTAGAAGCAGCTGTGAAATTTGTGAATTTGAATGACATGGTGAAAGCTCCTGAACTGCAAGGGATCTCATGGATCATTTAGTCATAGAATCATAACACTTTAGAGTGGAAGGGTCCTAAAGATCATCTGGTCTAGTATGCTCATTATTTTGAATGAAATGTGAAATAACTTACCTCAGGTCACTTAATGACAACCAGCATGTAGGTCTCCACTCAGAGTTAGATAAATCATTTTCCACTCCACCTTCTGTCTGTCCCTAGAAAGTACTGAAGGAGATAAATCCTTTTTGTAAAGGTAAAGAAGAGATGAATAGAGGTTGGATTGCCATGCAAGTTTCGAGATAGTGGCCTTCTAATTAGCCAGTGAATGAGGGGAGGCCCATCCTGCCGTATCTTCAGGTTGCCCAGTATAGTATACTTTAGAAATGATACATGATTGGCCTCATCTGAGATGTTATTGGCCACATTACTGGTACTGTTTGACATCTCCCTTCTGGAAATATACTTCCTGATCACATCCCATTGCTGTTCTAGACTGAAAACTAGCCTTGGCTTTGTGGAGCCTTCACTACTGCAGAGTTTGCTGGGAAGTAAATTTCTATAAAATGACTTTTTTCCCATTGACTTTCATTGCATAGGAGATCTGTTCTTAAGGAATGAATCCTCCAGTAGACTTGAATTCAAAACTTTCATTGGAGAGGTTAAATTTTGGCTAAGATCTCAAATGTGCTGGCTAAAATGGTTTCTATGGTTTCTCAATACCATCATCTGTCCTCTCCCAATATCATTCTTCCTCTGTTGTTGCCTCACTTTGCCTCCCAAATACTAGGGAATCCATAGGCATGGGGAAAAGTCTGAATTCCATATTTGTAGCTTCCAGAGCAAAATTTAGTTCACCTCTCTTCTCATTTTGTCTTGAGGTTTACAAAGGCTGATGATAATAGAGTTAAGGCTACATTATCATCAGTAAGCATTGCCATCTAACAGGTATAATACTTCACCAATAAATTCCTTATGTTTGAGCCATCATTTTAAAAGTTCATTGATTTAATGTCCTACTTGATTAATTTTGTAACTTCATTTGAAATAATTTTAAATAATTTCCTCAAAACAAAGGACAGTTATTGTGAGTGACATTAGAATTTCCCCTGAAATACCAAAATTTTACCTTTTAAAATCCTTTTTTTTACCCTTTTGTAGAAATAAAGGGATAAGATTCCTTTTATGGAAATAATATAAATTCAAATTGGAAAATGGAAGATGTCAAGAAACTTTTGTAGTTTTAGTTTTCGGGATGCCAGGATTCACCCTTATTTTACACAGTACTAGAATTTAGTGAAAAGCCATTCCTGATAATTTAGACATTTAAATTTATAGAAGATAGCCTTTTGAGATTTTCCAGGTCTCTGATCTTCTAATCTTTAATTTTACCCACTGTTGTTACTTGGACCTGACTGAATAAATTGAAAGAGTTCTGAATAACCTGCAAACAAGTGGCTGTGGAATTAACTCTTCTTCAGGTCCTGTCAAGTATGAGATTCTAATGTTCCCAGCAGTTACAAGATAAACAGACTGAATGCTTAGCTGTAGCAGCTTACCTTACAATTAAATGCTGTATATAACTTCCTGGAATCCATTTCTTTCCACTACTACACCAGTGTAATTAATTTAATTAATTTTAGCATACAGATTTTGCCACAACAATATGCTCAATCTGTGTGGTATTTCGGAGACTTCTCTTGAATCTGGCTCGGTCTATAAGAGGCCTCTAGGATAGAGGCATGAGGTGGCCAAAGAATTAATGTGAAGGGAGTAGCTTCCGTGGGAAAAGTACCATGTGCTTGAATTGATGAGGTGCCAATAAAGATTTTTTTTTTGTTTAATTGTATAATTGCTTTTTTTTGTTATTATCATTGTGAAATAATTTTTTTTTGCCTTTGTTACCCCTCAGGGAGGAAGGGCAGTAGTTCTGTCACAATGATAAAACATTTACTTAAAAATATTTCTTGTAGGACTTCATCTTACCTTTAATTAAGTGGGTTAAAGTAAAAAAATTCTCCCGTTAGTAAATTCTAACAGCTCATGTTATTTTGGCTACCATTTTCCTTAGCTGATCCATTCGATCCATTCACGATGTCATCCAGTTCAGAAACTCAGAGTCATTCCAATCCTGATCTGTTTGAAGATTTTCTTAATCCCAGTTCTGCACCAGCCTCATCCAGTATGTTTCCTTCTACACACAGCGCACCTCCTCCCTCTTCCAGCTCTGACTTCTTACATTTAGGTGAGTGAACCTTGGCTATTGTTTTTTAAATTTTGATGTTGCTATAGTGGGAGGCTGTGGGCTGATCAAAAGATTTATATCTGATGTTTAAATTAAATTTCTTATCTTGTGCCATTTATTGTAATGAAGTCTCTGTTGTGGGTATAAAAAGAGCACACATCTCTTGTGAAAATGTCTGCTCAAAACTAACATAATTCATAAAATTTTAATATGTACCAACCTCTACTCATTTTGTAATATTAGTTTTCTGAGGATGACAAAATGGTATACTTGTGTGGGGTTTTTTCCCCCCAAACTAATTATGTGTTGGA